GGCAGTAGGATTTGAGACTACCAACGAAAATCCAAAACGAAAATCCTACTCTCGTGACGCAAATTCTACTCCACATTGCATTTTTAATGCTATTATTTAAGTAACTACTGATCACCTTGCAATGAAGAGTAGAATTTGCGTCACGAGAGTAGGATTTTCGTTTTGGATTTTCGTTTAATTTCCTGTACTCTAATATCTATGTGAGATCTGAGCATGCGCGACCACACCCAAAATTAAAGCACATGTTTCTTTAATTAACAAAATGGCGGCATGCAGCTAAGAAGGTACGATCCAGCAATCATAGTATCACTTCTTCCTTTCTTGGATATTAATCTGATGGGACATGGACCTGCGCATAGACTGTTGGAATTGAATAGTGTAAGAATTATCAGTGTAGCACCAGCCAATATTGAGATACACACCGACAACTGGATTGACAGGAGAAATGATGACTAAGATGAAAAAAGGTGACTGAACAAAACAGCCGTTTTGCCGATTTTTTACTCTCCTCTTAGAAAAGGCTTAGAGCCACGTTAGTGGTACCAATGGAGTCCTCTGGTCAAGATGAGGTCCTCTAAGAAGTCTGGTAAGCATAGAAGCTCGTTTCCCCGGTATAGCAAGGCTGCAAAAGTTGTGGCAGCCATTTTGTTTTGGGGTGAATCCTACTTAGTAACGCTACCGCGTCACTAATAGATCTATACACCAGTATGCTTAATATACTGCACTGAAAGAAGCAGTTGATACAAAATACTAAATAAAATAGAGTAAACTTAATGACTAAAAATTATATTGGAATTACTTTATACGTAGTTATTTCTTGATGATTAGAAGTGACAAACAAATTCACCTGACTTACTATACAATTTCTAAAGAAAAAGAGAAGGAAAAGAAGAGAAATAGAAGAGAATGAACAAAATACACTATGAAATGTTTAAGTACATTACTTTCCATGCATATTACATATACATGATCCAGTTACATGATGACATACTCCATTATCATTACAATAACAAGAGTATTCACAACCAGGACCATATCTATTATGTGGATAAGCTATAGGAAAAAAGAAAATGTATAGTGCATTTAAAGAGGAGTAAAAATGACTAACAATTTCACAGAGACTATCATACCATCCTGCTTTACACTTACAAGATCCTAAATGTAATGAAGAGTAAAACCTTATATGTTCATGCACGTATTTTTAGACTTTGCCTCTCTTTAAATTTTCTCTCTCTCTTTCTTCTACTTTCCACATTCTTCCCTTGTATTTTCTCTCTTACCATTAGTACAAACTCCATTTCCATTACAATCAGTTTCATCACAGTTCAGTAGTTCACATTTCTCCCCACACCATGGAGAGACACAGGGAGTAGACCCACCACCATCCATCCTACTGTATACAAGATTCTGTGATATTAATATTGATATTGTTCAATTTTCTACTATATTATCTTGTTCATATCCTTCTGTTAGTTACAGCAACAGTGCTAGAATGATGATGATGATTTAGTTATTATTATATTATAACAATGCATGCTATACTGTGTGCCGTTCACATATGTTGTCATGGTAATGGAGAGATAAAGTTTAACAAGTCAGAGATAAAGAGAGAACTGATGGAGAGAAGAGAATAGGAACAGATCATGTTACAGAACAGCAACTGGAATAGCAGCACTGATGAAGATTAATGTATATTAATAGCAAACATAATTGATAATGATATTCAGTGTTATTGGTGTGTTCCAGTAACTATTTTCATGAGGTCCTATATACCACACACATACACTGATACACCCATCCTTTATACACTGGTAAAATCCTGTAAATTGCTTTGTTACTACATACATGTGTGCAAGTTACTGTATTTCCTATGAAAAGCAGTTTGTAGATGAGTGAAATAACCAAATTTTGTCCAAAAAAACTAATAGCCAATAGTAGCATAGCAGAGTAAAGCAAACAATGTTAGATGTGTGTATATACTTTACTTTAAGTTTTTATAGAATTCATCTGACAGAAGAATGACAAGAATTCAGTCACACCACACACTCCCACTAGTGTAGTTTACCATATACAGTTACAAGATGATTGATGTCTCTCAATGGAGAGCAAGTATTGGACTGTGGAACTACTGTCAAGCTCCCTCCAGTAGACCAGCTAATGGCTGCCACTCTCACTCATTCAAAGCTGCAGTAGACAGCAAGTCAGGCAGTACTACATCAGGAGAGAAGACATCTAAACTGCCAGCAGCTCTGTCTAGCTCTTATTGCTTTCCTCCTCCTCCTCTTTCTCTCTCTCTCTTTATTAAGACACATCTTGATGATTCCTTCAACAAGTAAACAACAATTGCAACTTTGTACTCGTATATTTACTGGTATTTTATTATTAGGTAACTGCTACCAAGTAAAATGTACTAGTACTGGTGTTACTGTTACTGATACACCTGGAGGCAGCAGTTCTAACCTGATTTACAATGATCTCTATTTGATTATTTGTCTACGTATGCTCCTCCTCTTATCAGGAGATGTTGAACTCAATCCTGGTCCTATGATTGATGATAGACCTGATATTTCATTGCTAACTCAATGGCTTGAACCACTGGTTGACTGGCAGTTATTTGGCTACTGCTTACCAGGAATAACACAACATGATGTATCAATAATTGAAGCTGAGAGTTCCAGTGTGAACGACCAAAAGAG